ATCGCTGGGCATGCCTTTGCTTTATATTCATTGAATTGTTATTTTGTTTTATTTTTAAAAGAGTTATTCTTTTATGCCCGTATGTGTCTCTGTGTGAGTATGCACATGTAAGGGCAATGTCAATGAAGACCAGAGGAGTGTGTCAGAACCCCTGGGGCTGGAGTTACAGAGGCTGTGAGCCAGCTGGTGTGGTTGCTGGGGATCCGAACTCAAGTCCCTTGGAAGAGCAGTGAGTCTCTTAACCCTTGATCCACCTCTCCATCTCCAATCAGTTCCCTCCCTCCTCTCTCTTCCCATCTCTCTGTCTTTCCCATCCTTTCGTTTCTCTGTGCTCCATCATGGGCTTACTTCACCCTGAATTCCTAGCTTACGGAAACCATCTATGACATTAAATTTATTAGTTTTTGGTTAGGAAAATCTCCACTTGGTTCCTTTTCCTTTACCCTCTCTTTCAAAATATTCATTTGCTTTATTTTGTGTGTGTGTGCCTGTGTGTTTGAGTAGGCGCACCACAGGCAAGCAGGGCCCACAGAGGTCAGAGGAGGCGTCGGGTCCCTTGGAACTAGTTATGAGCCACTATGTGGGTGCTGAGACCCGAACCTGGGACCTCTGAAATAGCAGCAAGTGCTGAGACATCTCTCCAGTCCTCCAGATACTTTCTGAATTTCTCAGCCTTGACCCCACCCCAAATCTCCTTGCACTAGAAATTGCATGCATTTAAAGTGTACCTCTGATAACGTTGTGTCTGGAGCGTACAGAGTCTACTGTTGTTCTGTTGGCCATTGTTCTGACAGTTCTTGCTACCCTTTTTTCCTGGTTTGGACATGCGCACAAAGCTAATAGTGAGAATAATTTGAGGCCTTAGAAGAGTCCACTGTCCTCTAGAAAGATTTGCTTTGTTTTTTACCAAGAGGCAGGGGACACTAGCTCCCTGAGATTAATTTAAACCAGTTTCATGGGTTGAGGCGATTCGAAGGTCATTGTCATAAAAAATCTGCCTCTTTCTCATTCAAATTCACAGCCTGATTTTCTTGGGACAATCATTTTGGTGAGTCCTAGACTCCAGTACCTGTCCCTCATGTCACAGATGCTTCAAGAAGTACTGCCCAGCCTCAGTGTGCTGGCCAGTCTTGTGTCACCTTGACACACAAGCTAGAGTTATCTAAAAGGAGGGAACCCCAGTTGAGAAGATGTCTTCATAAGGTCCGGCTGTAAAGCATTTTCTTAATCAGTGATCAGTGCGGGAGGGCCCAGCCCATTGTGGATGGTGGTTCTAGAAGAAAGCAGGCTGAGCAAGCCAGGTCAAACAAGCCAGGAAGCAGCACCCTTCCATGGCTTCTGGATCAGCTTCTGTCTCCAGGTATCTGTCCTCTTTGAGTTCCTGTCCTGGCTCCTGTCAATAATGAACCGTGCTGTGGAAGCATAAGCCGAATAAACTCTTTGCATTTTGGTCATGGTGTTTTGTCACAGCAATAGAAACCCTAACGAAGACAACTTGACTGCCACCTGGGAGGAAGTGTGACTTCATACTTTGGGCTTACCTCCTGGGCCTCCATCCCCCAGATTCAAGCTTGTTAAATCTTCACTCTTATGTTAGTCATTTAATGCATTCAGAGAGATGAGATGGGGGTGGGGGTGGGAGTAGGTGGAGGGGGGTAGGGGTAGGGTGGGTGGGTGGGTGTCAGCACCCATGGATGTGCACACCCCTGTGTGTGAGTGTAGTGGCCAGAGGACGCCAGGAGTCCTGCTCTATCACTTTCTATCTTTTGACCTTGAGATAGGCTTTCTCACAGAACCTGAAGCTAGGCTGGCAGCTAGCAGGCCCTAGTGATCTTCCTCTCTCTTCCTCCTGCAGTGCTGGGGTTATAGGTGAGTGGAGCTATGCCAGGCTTCTTACATGGGGGCTGGGGATTCAAACTCAGATCCTCATGCTTGTGTGGCAAACTCTCTTACTCATGGAACCAGCTTTACAGTCCTGGAGAGATGTTGTGTATATCTTGTGGAACGTGTATGTTTGGTATGAGCTACCTAGTCCTCTGTTTTCCTCTCTCTCTACTTTCTCCTCGACAGACTTCTCGCCTTCTTTAGTTCTCAGGGGAGAGAAGACCTCTGCTTCTCTCTCAAGCAGGCCCTTCCTGGCATGGCCTGGTCATCTTGCTCTTCATAGTTGTCTGGAATTGTAAATCATCCCATTTATCCCTGGACACTAGAACCTTCCCTACAAACACATTCAGCTGTCTTCTACACAAACACAACCACCTCTTTTTTTTTTTTTTTTTTTTTTTTTTTTTTTTTTCTTCACGCTACGTGTTTCCACTTCTTGCAACCACTAACCTGGAAAATGCTATTTTTGGTGAAAGTTCTTGCTAGAACAGTTTATCA